TTTCGTAGTGATTGATCAATACAAAAGTAATTTAATTATTTTTATAATTATTTATACTTTGTTATATAAATTATCCATAAGGAATGAAATTTAATTCAATTCCAAATCTTATCGAAAAAATAACTAAAGATCCCAAATTAGGCATGGCAACGGGGCGGGGATGGGGCGGGTTTTGTAATCCCCGGCCCCGGTTTGTAATACCGTCCCCCGGCCCCGGTCCCCGGCGGGTACGTGGATTATCATACCGTCCCCGGTCAAATTCTAGCAATCCCCGGTCAAAACCCGGTAAACTCTGGTCAATCCCCGGTCAAAACCTGGTAAAAAGTATGCTTTAGTTTGATTATGTCGGGGATCCCCGGCCCCGACCCTGGCCCCGGTTTGAGTAACATCCCCAGTCCCCGGTTTGAGTCTACCGGGGATCCCCGGCCTCGTCCCCGGGACCCGTTTTAACGGGGAATCCCCGGCCCCGTTCGGGTCGGGTGAACCGGGTTCCGCACCGGGTCGGGGTAAATCACCATCCCAATGCCAAATCCTTCCGTCCAAATCTTCAAATTCCAAATTCTTCTACGAAATCCAAATCCCTCAAAATTATTTCATCAAATCAAACCCCCGCTAATTTTTTTTACAATAAACAAATTATAAAAATGTAAGTAATGAAGTACTTGTAAAAAAAATTATCCAAAATTTAGAAGAAATAAAGAGGCAAAATATTTGACATCAAATCTAATTTAATATAACCTTCTAATTTATAAATATATATACAAGCTTAATTATTTTAAAACCCCGTACATTATGAAAACCATAARAACTTTTATCTTMACATATTGTTTYACATRATTTTWTCTCATCTAAGGCTAACATTTAATGTATTAATAAAYATATATTTGTTTCACAATATGTTTGTTTCATATGCATGTGGTTCACAATGTGAATCTTTGACCTCCTAAGAGGTCAGAGGTTCAGATCTTACCAAAGATAAAAAGGGTATGTAAGTTTATTTATTCTATTTACCGTATATAAATGTTGATATTATAAAACAAGTACATATAAAAAAAAACTTTTATGAAACAAATATATAGTTATTCTATTTCACCTCTTAGATATTTTAAGTTCTAGTGTTCTATGAAAAAATTATATGAAATATACTAGGGATGGACCCAATAATTTTTGGATACGGTGACATCATATAAAACGGTTGCACCTTCTAGAATAAAACGATTGCATCTTTTACGAACCTAATTTTTTTTACCTTACCACGAAAGAACAATACGATAGCATGTGCCATCTAACCACCCCTCTGGTCTGTATACGTGAAGACGCATTTGATCTTTATGGGTTCTAAGAAAAAGTTATATATAATTGTTATCTTCCAAATTTCCACGTCACAGAAAGCCAATTCCCAGGTGGTTGCCACATCACACGAACCCTGCCGATTATCAACCACCAAGAACCAAATCAATGGAAACCAAGACCCCATTTCCTCATTTTATGCGAAAATCAATGAAGAACCATTCCGTCCGTATSCGCCATTACAGGACTCAGAGAAGCAACCAACTCCACCAATTTTTTGTGGAATTTTTGCACTATAAATTCATGGCTTCATCATCGATCTCAAATCGCCAGCACCTCTGGACATTTAACCCCAAAACAAAACCACATTTTGTGGATTCCTTTCTCGATTGTTCTTCTTGGAATTCCAAAGCACCCCTAACCAGAAAATGGAATCTTCAAGAAGCAGCATGATGGTCGGTTGCTYTCCAATTGGGGGTAGCTTTAAACGAACAACGGGAACCAGTCAATTATCAAGTGAGTGATCCCCAAATCTCCCAATTTACTAATTTATGTTATTGATTTTCGTTTATAATCGTTGCTTTTTCTTAATTAGTTTTTAATTGAGGGTTCGAATGTTGGTGATGCAGGCTCGAAATCCAAGGAGAAAATAGAAAGAAAGAAGAATCCACAGGTGGTGTGTTTTGGGGAACTTTTAATCGACTTCGTGCCGACGGTTGCTGGCGTTTCATTGGCGGAGGCACCCAGCTTCAAGAAAGCTTCTGGCGGAGCTCCGGCCAATGTCGCAGTTGGCATCTCCAGATTAGGAGGATCTGCAGCTTTCCTTGGCAAGGTACATTTGATCCTATCTGGTTTTATATACCTTCAAATATGTCTAAATATCATAGTATAACTGCTTTATACCGTAAAACAATTGTGTTTTAAATGTAAAAGCTTTATAATAAGTTGCTACAGGTTTKTTAAGACACTTTCGAAATGAAATGTCATCTCAGGTTGGCGATGATGAGTTCGGTCACATGTTGGCTAACATCCTCAAGGAAAACAACGTCGATATCTTAGGAATGAGGTTCGATAAAGAAGCAAGAACCGCATTGGCGTTCGTTACCCTAAGGGCCGATGGAGAGCGTGAATTCATGTTCTTTCGCAATCCGAGTGCTGATATGCTTCTTACCGAAGCCGAACTTGATAAGGATTTGATCRAGAAGGTGTTTTTCTTACACCCTTTTCGACAAAATGGGATGATACAAATTCCATAGTTTCCGATTTAACTCTAGATTTGTGTTCCTTTGATGTTTATCGAGCAGTCAACAATCTTTCACTACGGATCTMTCAGTTTGATCGAGGAACCATGCAGATCAGCTCACCTGGCTGCAATGCAAGTAGCCAAAAAGGCTGGCTGCATTCTTTCCTATGATCCCAATCTGAGACTCGCTCTCTGGCCCTCAGCCGAAGCTGCACGAACAGGCATCATGAGCATCTGGGATCAAGCCGACGTTATCAAGGTACAATATTGTGGTAAACTTTTGCTCTGATACCATATAAGAGCCCCATACAAAGGAGAAATGGTCAAAATRTAGCCGACTTACAACTTTAATGGGATTTTCTTGAAATGCAGATTAGCGAGGACGAAATTGAGTTCTTGACCGGAGGCGATAACCCCTATGATGATAACGTTGTCTTGACCAAGCTTTTCCACCCGAATCTTAAGCTGTTGATAGTCACCGAAGGTCCTAACGGCTGCAGATACTACACCAAGGTTACCTTCATCTCCAAAAACCATAAACCATTCGAGTTTTGCATACATACACAGAGTTGGGTTGAACAATTTTATGAAGTTGAGTAACTTCTGCAGGATTTTCATGGCAAAGTTGGTGGTGTTAAGGTCAAGTGTGTTGATACAACTGGTGCTGGTGATGCTTTTGTTGGAGGACTCCTTAACAGTTTGGCTTCAGATCCTCAAYTGTTCAAGGTAAAAATATTTCAATTTATTAGGTTGCATTGGTTGTACAAATACGATGGGTTGCATTTGAAACAAACTCTCGCTCTCTCTCTCTCTATATATATATATATATTGAAAGCACATGATATCTATTGTAGATATGTACTTGATTGATTTGAGATTGACTCGAAAACACTTTGTTTATGGTTGGTCTCAGGACGAGAAGAAGTTGAGGGCTGCTCTAAGGTTTGCAAACGTGTGCGGTGCGATCACGGTGGGGCAGAGAGGAGCGATTCCATCCTTGCCGACGAAGGAARTGGTTCTGAAGAAGCTGGAGGAAGCCGGAGCCGGAGCGGAAGCCTAAATAAGTTGAACGATTTTCACGAATCGAAAACAGAAGGAAACGGCTACAAAYAATTTCCATTCCACCCTTAGAGCAAAAGTAGGAACATAGAACAACAATTTTTGTGCATAATTTTTCTTACTTTTGGTCCATGTGTTTGTACATTGAACATGAAATAAATGAAAATGTCGTGCCTTTTCTTCAAATATGCATTTTACGAGTATGGTTTGATGCTATTCACGAAAACAGATTTAAGTCTGCTTTACATGACTCAATTTATATGACCAAAAAATAAAGAGTTCTATCTAAAGGCGTTGTAATAAGTTTATAGGACGCTTTTGAGAATCTTAATAAGTTTTATATGACACGATTAATACAAAGCGTCCTATTAGCTATTTTATAGGACATTTTTTCAAAAGTGTCCTATAAAATATTTATAGCTAATGGGAAGCTTTATATCAAAATTGTCCCGTAAAACTTGTTAAAACGTCATTTAAATTTATTACAGCTCGTTCAGACAAGGCCTTTTATTTTTTGATCCTATAAATTAAGTCATATAGAATTGAAAGGTTGGTTTGAAAACCTTATGGGGGAAAGTGATCAAATCCGAATACTTGTAATTTCAACTCAAATTCATGGATACTGTTSAATAATTCCCGGTATCCAGATTAACAATATTTCTGAGAACCCTGGGATTCAATAATACCCCAACAGTCTACGAATACACCATTGACATGCAATGATTTCAGAAGTTTTAGGGCTCGTTGGTTCGCAGTTTCTAAAGGAATATGATGTAATTGGAATGTTGAATTTCATTAACCAAATTTCATTCTCTCATTTGATTTATTTTTTTTCATGAAAGAAATCTTCATAATCCAACAAATTTCACAAATACAATAATTTAACATTCCTTAACAACTACATGGTATTTTTTTTTATGGAATGAAATTATCTATTTTCATAATATTAAATATACTCTTAACCCAATATACCTTTAGCTCATAAAAATCAAATATGACCATCGTCGACCACCTTCGACCACCGTCGATCTAAATACCACTGATATGAACCACTATCGACCACCTTCGACCACCGTCGATCTAAATACCACTGATATGAACCACCGTCGATCTAAATACCACTGATATAAACCACCGCCGACCACTACCGATCTGAAACACCGTCGGTCACCGCCGATCCTAACCACCACCCATTTGCTCCACCGTCGATCTAAACCACTTTCGATCTGAACCATCGCAGATCACCTCCATCTGTACCACCATGGACCACCACCGATCTGAACCACTGTCGACCATCGTCATCTGAACCACCGCCAACTACTACCATTCTAAATCATCGCCTGCCACCGCCGACCATCACCGAGCTGAACAACCACGGATCTGATCCATTGCTAATCTGAGCCACCCCCAATCTGAACCACCGCCAATCTAAACCACATCCGACCACCTCCAGCTGAAGCATCACGAACCACCACCAATCTAAACCACTACCGACCACCAGCTAC